CAATGAGTATATGATGGTGCTGTACCTATACAAAAGTCTCCTCATCGTATGAGATGCTCTTAGGTAATTAACGGGTTGGTTGACTGGTTCAAATTCAATAATTGAATTTTTATTTTAAATGTTACTATTCTTTTTTTAAAACGGTGATGTTATAAAAGAAAACTCACTGCTAAAGAGAAAAAAAGCAGGAGGAAACAAAATAAAAAATTACAAAGCCTTAAAAGGGAAACATAACCAATCAGGCTTATTATAGTTACCAAAATTACCCATATTTTTAACCCAATTGAAAACCGTAAATATGATGGTATCCAGCGTTTTGGAAGGGGAGTGATGAATCTTGTTAAAAAACATGTCATTTCCAACTTTCCACACGTTCCATAGAAGACCGTATACGGCCGCCACAAAAATTATTCTCTTCTGAGGGCAACGACCCCAATTTGCCGTGAAAACGATGACTTCATTAATAGAGTTGAAAACTGGAGAGGGATGTCACACCATTTAAAAACCCAATAAAGGACCTCCCGAGTAAAGATTCAACCCGCCATGATGTGATCAGTGGAATTGAAGCCAGTGGAACAAAGATGATAGGAGGTTGAGGAGGTAGAGACACCACGATGATTAAGAGCGGTAGCGGTAGGTATGCGATCAAGACTCGCTCCCCAAATAAAACACGATACTTTAAGGGGAACAAGATTAGTCCAAAAAGTTGCATTTGGAATTCCACACGTGAGTTTGGAGTCAATAACGCATGCGAGGTTGCTCACAAAAAAAATCACCATTGGCATCATGTTTGGATTTCCAAATATCATTTGCATCAGTAAGGTTGACAACGAAAATAAGATTGTTTAGTTGATCAAGCTCCAGCGATTCAGGCGGCCTGCGAGGAATTCTTTTCCAACTCCACGTGGGGTCTGTGGAAGATAATCTTTCTGGAATAAAACATGATTGTTTGGAGTCCAGTTTAAAAAGATGAGGAAACCTTGACCCAAAGGAACCTCCGCCAAACCAATCTTCGAGCCAAAAGAGTGTTTAATCCCCATTCCCAACCTGACAATTTAGAATCTGATTAAATTGGATACCAAGAAGATCGAGGTCCTTGATGATTTTGACAATATTCCCCCAAGTGTCGGGGATAGAAAGCTTAGCAAGCTTTGTCACCAGTTTTCTCGCGAGATTGTTTATGTTGTTGATAACTTGACTCCATAAATCGGTATCTTTATTATAGAATTGCCAAATCCATTTAAAAAAGAGGGAAATATTAATACTTTGAAGAGATCCCACGCCCAGACCGCCTTTTTCTTTGTTCGCGAGAATAGCCTTCCAATTGACCCAACAAATCTTGTTTTTATCCTCGGTGCTACCCCACAAAAACGACTTCAGATTCTCTCCATATCGTTCATCACCGACGTAGGAGCTTTGAAGATAGAGAAATAGAATAATGGAATGCTGCCCAACACCGATTTGACGAGAGTTAGATGCCCTCCGAATGAAAGAGTCGTGGATTTCCAAGTTGAGAGTCTGTTTTGAACCCGGTCAACAATAGGTTTCTAATTCCACTTCAAAGCCATGTTCGCTCCGATATGAACTCATAAGTAGGTGAAAGGAAAGGGTGTCGCTTCGCATCCCAAGATATCAGCACAATTGGCTACTTCAATATCTGAAGACGTGTGACTTATGGAAATTCACCTTTAAACCTGAAACAACGTTAAAACAAAGAAGAATCCGAGATAGGTTAATGAAGTTATAGCTTGGCCAATGACCAACAAAGATGGCGTCGTCTGCATAAAAGTGATGTGAGATGGATGGGTCGTTGTTCGGAGTTTGGATGCTACGGAAAAGAGATCGTTGACAGGCTGATTTCATAGAAGCATTTAGCCCTTCCGTCGCCAAGATAAACAAAAAGGGGGATAAAGGGTCCCCATGGCAGACTCCCTTGGAGATGGGGAATTCCAAGGTCGGGGACCCATTAATTAACACCGAAGCCCGAAAAGAAGAAAGACAACCTCTGACCCAAAAGCGCCAGCGGTTCTCGAAAACCCATTTGAAACATACTAGAATCAAGGAAGTGTCAGTTAATAGAATCAAACGCCTTGTCAAAGGCAACTTTGAATAGGAATGCCTTCCATTTTTCTTTTTTAGCCCAAGACTAAATCTCGTTGATTATAAGAGGACCATCAAGTATGTTGCGTCCCTCGATGAAACCGGTTTGGATGCCATTAATCATCGTGCCTATAACCCGTTTGATGCGATTAGCAAGTGCTTTAGCGATAATCTTGTATAAGCTTCCTATAAGGCTGATCAGTCGATAGTCATTAAGGGAGTCGATAGTCATTAAGGGCGAACGGGTCTTTGGTTTTGGGTATTAAGGTAATGAATGAGGAGCTAACACCCCTAGCAAAATGCCCACTGGCTTCAAATTATCTAACGAACCTCATGATGTCGTCTTGTATCAGACACAAATATCTCCTAAAAAACTGGAAGGTGAATCCATTCGGCCCGGGGGCTTTATCACCCCCGCAGTCCCATATAGCAGCCTTAATTTCTTCGAGATTGAAATCAAGTTCCAGGGAGGCGTTGTCTTCCGGAGAGAGTCGTCTGAGATTTTGATTGAGGAGAAGGGGCCTAACAGTCTGAGTTTCTCTAAATTTTTCACCAAAAAAACGTAATGCTTCCGCATTTAGAGAATCTTTATCAGATACCCAATTCCCATTTACCATGAGGCCTTGAATGGTATTTTTTCTGCCTTTAATTTTTAGGAAATTATGGTAAAATTTGGTGTTTTCGTCTCCGCCAGTAAGCCATTTGATCTTGGCTCGTTGCTGTAAGTCAAGCCTAGATAGGTGTTCAAGTTCAAGTATTTTTTTTCCTTCCCTAAGGAACGCCTTTTCTTCATCAGTGAGTGCTCTTTCCTTCGCAGCACCATCTAAACCTTCCACCTTAGATTTGATGTCAAAGAGATCTTTGTGATCTTTCTCGAATTCGAGCCTTCTCCATTCAATGATTGCATTTTTAATCGCCTTTAGTTTGAGGTATATGTATTTATCCTGGGTCTTGTGACTGTGGAAGCTATTCCATGTAGAAAAGATATCATGATCGATGCCGTCACACACATATACACACATCTCTCCATCTCTCTCTCTCTATCTCTCTCTCTCTCTCTCTCTATTTTAATAAATGAATATGTTTATTCTTCTAATGACAAGTGTCATACTATTATAATTCCTCATTAACTTAATATGTCACCTCGCATGCTACTTGTCAACCTATTAATCATCAACTAGGTGAATGCTCGCGCGTTGCGCAGAAACACCTATATAGTTGAAGTCTTTACAAATATATATTTTTTTTTTAATGTAACAATAACGTTGTTGTTAAATTTGATATAATAATTTTTATACTAAATTGATATCATATATTGAATATTTTTGAATTATATGATAATATATACTATATACATTTATTTAATTGATATAATATATTGATTATTTTGAATTATATGATAATATATACATCTATTATAACTGTATAATCTCAACTGTTTGAATAACTTCTACCCGCGAGTTACTCATGAATAAAATTAAATATAATATATGGCTTAATGCTATTTATAGTTTTTGTTATTGTTAATTAATTTTTTAAAATTAATTTTTTTAACGTTTTAATTTCTATCATTATAATTATTTAAAACATCAGACATTGTTTTTTATTTTAAAGGTAAAAATATAATCATTTATATAAAGTTATTTTTAATTATTGTTATTGTAAGTTATTTTAAGCTACTTATTTGAAAACTTTTAACGGTTATACAAATATCTTTATAAATATTTTAGTTAAATTGATATTATAATTTAGTTTTTACATTTAGCACTACAATTTATCACTTTTAACTATTCACAAAATATTCGTTGGGTTTTTTAAGTGGAACTGAAATTTATATTTTAAGTTGACACTATAATGTTATATTTAAATTAATAGTTTAAATATTTTGTCGAAACTGTTCCAAAGTTGTAGCTTTAAATTGATAAATGTTTACATACAACAACATATTAAATATAATAAGTTAAGTATAATATGTTAAAAGTTAAAGACATAACTTTATAAGTACAAATAAAGATATTATTTTAATATTGGAATTTAATTTATTAATGATTACACTTTAGGTTTGATATTTATCTAACCTTATTAACCAAATTATAATCATTATTAGAAAGACACTACAATTTATCACTTTTAACTATTTACAAAATATTATTTGGGGTGTTTAAGTTAAACTAAAATTTATATTTAAGTTGGTCCTATAATCTTATATTTAAGTTTATAATTTAAATATTTTATACAAATTGTTCAAAAGTTGTAGCTTTAAAATGATAATGGTTTACATCCAACAATATATTAAAACTAATAAATTAAGTATAATATGTAAAAAGTTAAAAAAACATAACTTTATAAGTAGAAGTAAATATATTATTTTAATATTGTAATTTAGTTTATATATGATTACACTGTAGGTTTGATATTTATTTAATCTTATTAACCAACTTATAATCATTATTAGAAAGAAATTGAAAAGTCATGGGAGTTTCAAATTAATGTGGTGAAAGGAAATATGAATGAGAGTTTCAAATGAATGTGGTGAAAGAAAAAATGTTTCCTTTATAATATAGTACGATATGATTTCAAATTTTAAAATTTAAATTTCTCACTCTAATTATATTAAATAAATAATATTAGATTAAAAAAATAAAATAAAATTATTACATATTATAAGATGATACTCAAATCAACGATTATAATTTTATATAACTAAAAAATATTTTCTTAAGTAATAATTTATTTAAAATAATTGATTATTAATTTTAATTTTTTAACATGAAAGTTTAATTAATTTTATAAATATGATTCTCACAGGTTATAAACTAATATATAATATATACATCTTCATCATAAGAAATTAAATATGTATCAAAAGGTGATCATATGTAAACAACTTTTAGAATTACCATCGAAATAGCCACATGAGTTATCTGGAGGACATCCAGACATGCTACAACGCTTCCATCTGACCAAAAAAGTAAATAAAAATCAGGTGAAATTGATAATAATTTTGGATATTATAAAAAGGTAAAGCCCACCTTTGTCTATAACAGGAAGATGTAAGAATTTCCCATCATGCATTATATGTAGTGCCTCAAGAATCGTTGTGTCCACCGTTGCACATTTTGGATTTGGTGTCATAACCTTAAAGAAAGAACATTTATTTTATAAAAATACAAAAATTTCCCATGTATTAAAAAAATAAATATTCCGAAAGAAACCATAGGAGTTTGGATGTGCATTTTAGAAGTGACTATTTAATTAGAGCCAACTACAAGAAACATCAATGCACTTTCATTTATTTGTGTATTATAGCACCTTACTTTCATTTCTTTCTATTTCAACATTCTAATTTCACTCTTTTTCCTTACAAGGCATTAACTTTTAGCTACACAATTGAAGTCCTCAAAAAAATTAACAAGTTGTAAAAATATAACCTTTTCAACAAATGTCAACTCAGGAGGAAGATTTTGTGCCACAACTCGCATGAGTAGATCCTTTGAACTGAAAACAACCAAAAACACTATTTAATATAGTATAAACAAGCAATAAGAGTGTCATCGAGCAGAGTCAACTCAAAGCTAACCGATACCAACTAAAAAAAATATTGGAAACCGATGCATTTTTAAACTAAAAACTAAAAAGCCTAAAATATAAATAACGAATCAAGGTCATAGTCAAACAATAATCTTACGTTAATATGCCCTGAATAATGTTTCCAGCCATAATTATAACAGAACCAACATGCAATTCCTTCATCCTTTTAGCAGCAACATAAACTGGATCTGATGCCATAACAATTGCGACCCTGGGACATAATGAAGCTACCAAATTAATTTAGTGACACATAAATGGAAATATATTCCAAAAAAATAATTAAAAAAAATACTTGGAATTTTCGGTAATGATGGTTGACAAAGAGGACTGGAACTTTTGGTCACTTAGCGTCTCCACAAAAGTAGAAGGTGCTGAAAAAATGATTTTAAATCATTAGTCATAGACTCACAACGATTAATATATAATGACACTGCATTATGAAATGCAGTTTAGGTAATCAATTTTAAAGTACCCAAAAAAGTAGTTTTTTGAAATGTCATTAATATCTAATCACAATATTATCATTGATAATTTAAATACTCACAAGTCAAATTATTTTCCGATTCGCGTTCCACAGTTTTTTCAATTCCAGATATAACATCATAGAGGCAGTTTTCAATATCCAATGATGCAATAACTTCTCCATTTTCAACAACTGGGAGATGCCTAAATTTTCCTGTTTTCGTACTAAATGATAAAATATAAATATATAAAACCACATGAAAGTTGAAACTAAACTAACCTCGGATCATCTTCTGAAGGGTATCCATTGCCAAAGAATCAGAAGAGACAAAAATAGGATTTTTTGTCGTAACTTTTTGATATTATTGTTTGGTGTGGGCTTAGTTTTTCTGCAACAACTTTAGTTGCTATATCCTAAAGACAATGATAGTCAATTAGTCAGAGAACAAAAAGAAAACCATGCAAGGAAAGTTCAAAAAAATGTAAGGAATACCAAAATAGAAAATAAAGACTTGTTTTTCAAGAAATGACACACAACCTTGTTTTGGCTTGTCAATATCACAAATATTGCAATTTTTTAATTATGATTATAGATTACGGGTAGATATTCTAATTTTCAAACCTTGCCGGTGACTATTCCACAAAGCAAACTATCAGCATCCGTAAATATCGCGACATTAACACGACGAGCTGCCATTCTCCTACAAACATCTAACACAGAGGTTTCATCCGACATTGTGAGGACCTTTGACAACCTGAGCTTCTTCACGATCCTCTCGCCACTAACCAATCAAAAACAAATATTCATTAAAATACCATACAAAAAACAAATAAAAACACTATATAACTCTCCTTCTAGCATGAACAATTACTTATATTCAATTCATGACATTTATGCTCATGGAGAAATAATTCATACATAGTATTCCTAAGAACAAGCTAATAAAACGGATAAATGCATTAGAGCACTTTGAGTACCGTTAACCCATCTCAATTAAACTGTCATTTCGCTAGGTAACTTATAAACGATTGATTAATATGATTGAATTGAGGTGGGAATAGGCGAAGGGGATTTCAATGGATAACCATTAGTGGCTCCGGTGGAGATAGTTCCATTTTCCGATTGAGTTGATAACAATTTTTTGATGGTAGTAAACGGATTTTTTCGTCTATACATTGAATTGTTCCCTTGACGAGTTGCGGCCCTTGGCTGCTCATTTTTTGCTATGATGCTTCCCCTCCGATTCTCACTCTGAAAAAGGCTTTTATGAGGTATGAAATCGACAAGGGTTTTCAAGATTCCATGGAGGACCTCATTTCATTACATACTTTCGCGAAACAAAAAAATTGATTCTCATGTATGGTGAATTCTCTGTTGTACCAAACAGTTTGAATCGATTCTTTTTCTTTTGCTTAATTTTCTTTCTTTTCATTTACATTCTCCGCTTCAATTCAATTTTTCTATACCAAACACACCCTTAACACCTAAAAAATGATGATAAGTCATGTTAGAAGGTTTTTGAGATTGCTTTTTGAAATAACTTATCGACTTATTGGCTTTTTTTAAAAATCCAGTAAGTTAAAAAGGTGTTTGTGTAACATATGTTTTCTAGGTATGAATTGTTTTTGTGTTGAATTATCTATGATTAAGATTTGGGGTTTCGGACGGAATGCGACGCGACTTCTATATATCGTGACACTAGCGATGCGACCATGTAGTGGTCGCGACGCGAAGCCGTCAGGGGCCAAAACCTTAGGTCTCGGGCCTTGAGCCCTATATAATGGTGCTAACTTTTAGGGTTTCATCTTATTCATCAGCCTCCACCCTCCACCTCTAAAACGTCCATTGTGAAACCTTGGCCTTCCTTTCAAGTGTTCTTTACTGTTTTGTGACATTGGAAGTGTGTTTTGAAGGAGATTGTAGTAATTAAAGAACATGGTTTGGCATGCAGAATTAAAGATTGCACAATGAACATGGTGGGTGTTTAAGAGATGTATTGAATATGTATGGTGTTACAAAAAGGGACATAGATCTACATCTACATAAATAACACACACTCACACACTCAACTTTTACACCTCTCAAGCACACCTCCATAAGTGGTATGAACCCACCTTATATAGAGGTGTTTACATGTCTCTCTCTCACTCTCTATCTCATGTCAAAAGGCTAAAGCACCACATGCAAGTGGGTCTACAAAAGTCAAACATTTACAAAGTCAATCATGAATAACTTTGTACCCCAACAAAGATCAAGGTCTTTGGTGCAAGAGAATCCTCGCAAGTGTAGATTCACAGTCCTTATCCTCTTTTGGACTCATTGTGAGTATAAATATCCTTGCTTTATGTGTTTTTATGCTTAGATCTAGGTCTTAAGGGGATTTTGGACCCTTTTATCAATATAGACATGTTGTTCTTGGGGTTTGAGCAACCTCAGAACCTTAGAACAGATTGGAATGATCTTCTAGCCATCTTCGAGTAGAAAAAAGTATGTATATGCATGGGTTCCTTTTGAACCATGCACAAGCTCTTGACCATCTTGAGCTTATCTTGATTCAGGGTTTGAAGCTCTGAGTGATTAAGCCTAGGATCTGGACAAAGTTTGAAACTTTATTCATTATAACCCTTAGAAGAATCATATATGATGATTTGGTCTTTGGTCTTAAAAGGTTAAAACCTTAATAAAAATTGGCTGATTTACGGATATTCGTGACACGACCGGTAGGGTGCCACGAAACAAGTCGCGATGGGCATTCACGACCGTTTTTTCCTTTAGTGATCATGACGCGATGGGCGGTGCATGGTTGTTAAGCATTGATTTTGACCTGTTGAACGTTGACTTTTGGACGAGTTTAGTTTTTAGTTAAACTTGGTGAGTATAAGTTGTAGGCCAAGGTTTGACCTCTGATTTTATCTAGGTGCTTCGTGAGAGTGATTTAAGCATATTCGAGCGTGTAGGCTGTAGCATTGATTCTTCAGCTTTATGTTCAGGTGAGTTATCTCACTATACTATATATATATATATATATATATATATATATATATATATATATATATATATATATATATAGTATGTTAGGATGTAGATGAATTTTAGTGTGTTGATTATGCAAAGTGTCAGTATAGTCTTTTTCATGTTGATTGTTTGATTGTTTGATTGTATGATATGTCCACATATTATGTTTGAGGAGTTAATTGTGGATTGGCACTAGATCTAAAAACCTAAATTACTCGTTTCTATGGTTGGACATACACTAGAACCGTTAACCGTTGTGATGGTTAAACATACACTAAAGCAGTTAGTCGTCGTTATGACTAGACGTGCAATAAAGCCATTATTCACTGTTTGATCTGGTGGATCGGCACTAGTCGAAAACCTTTTGTTTGTATGCATTGTATGTGTATTATGATATGTGATATTTTTTTGGAACTTACTAAGATTTGTACTTATAGTTGTTGATTTAATATTTTTCAGGTAGTTCCTCTGCTTAGGGGAATGCTCCAACTTAACTGTATGGAACGTGTATCACTACTAATTTACTATAGACTTCCGATGTTATGATGTTTTGATACATTTTTATATTATGGCTTGATGATGTTTTGGAACGATTACAACCTTAATTTACTTATATTATATATATGTAGCAATTTTCATCGAAAAAATTCACATACCCATTTGAATAAACTACATGATTCGCAGGGGACCTCTGGCGGCTTTGGTTAGGAGAAGTTGAAGAACCTACATCAGATAGGCTAGGTGGTGGAGGAACACTGGAGCCCTGTGAATTGTAGAGGTACAATGTTAACAAGATTTGTGGAAAGCCTATTTCATCAACATGAACCATTTCACTTTCTTTTAATTATGAATCTTTTCGTATATTAACATTCTTAGAAAATCTTTTCTTTTAATAAACAATATTAGTGTAAAGAATATTTTGATCCATTAGTTATTTTACTATGACTTTATTATAAGCGATATTTTTGTTGAATAAGATATAAAAAAAACTATTACACTTAGATAAAATTAAAAAATATCTAATTAACATTTTCGTTTTCCACATGAAGATTGTGTAGCCTCATAAACGATTGTATGCTGAATGTGAAAGGAGGAGGTGCCCCAACCATAGTGGAAATTTTATATAAAAACAAGATAACTTTATAAATAAGAATCAAAGACACCTAGAAATTAGAGTTTTGTTTCAAATTAAAGACACACATAAACAAAAAAAAACAATTTTCTCACAAGGGATAATCAAAATCAAGTTTCGAGAATAAATGTTTACATATCTCACTAATATAAAAAAAAAAACTTAACATAAACTGAAATAGATCAAAATTCGAAGAACGCCTATAAAAGGGCAATTATTATTTAAGATCATCTTCAAACTCAAAGAGTTGCTCAGAAAAAAAAAGTTAAGTAAATTCCTATCTTAATATCATGGATTATCAGAATACTCATGACTTTTTTTGAATAAGAACACACCTCGATATTCCTATCTCAAAATCAGCCCCACCATGTATTATCAGAATGCACCTGGAAATTCCTACCTTAATGTTGTGGTTTCATATGCACTTGAAAGAGAAAAGAAAAAAATAAATGTCGTAGGGTAAGGTGAGGGACCCGATAGGGGCTGGTAGGGCTTTAAGTTTCCTTTTTTTTATTTAATAAAAGATTAACAGATTATAAAAAAAAAATTAAATTAAAAATGATACATAAGTCATTTATATGGGTCACAAATCAATCACGCAAAAAACTGAATGCACAGACCATCCATATTACGAAAAAAGAAATTAGACATGAAACATGAGAATCTAAAAAACCACAAAGACATGAGATTTTGTCAAAATAAAATGTGTCACCCAATTATCACTGGTGCTACCACCAAAAAAGAAAAAACTACTCACTTTCTCGGGACAAACAATGTAGCTTTATAAGTAGGATGTAAGTGTGTGTATATATATATATATATATATATATATATATATATATATATATATATATATATAGAGAGAGAGAGAGAGAGAGAGAGAGAGAGAGCTAGGTTCATTTGTTTAAACTAAGTATTGTGTTATCGTATGCATAAATGTGGGCCAATCAAAATTAAATAAATAATTAAATAAATAAATAAGGGTAATTTAGTCATTTGTTTAATAACTTCCAAAAATAATCCCTATAATCTTGCTAGCCTTCACTCTTAACCTAATTTATTTTCTTATATACAGCCGTCGATGACCTGAAACAAAAAGAAGGGCATCCGTTATCGACCTTGTACATCGATGAACTATCACTCCCTCACTGCTTTCTTTTTCTCTCTCGTCTATGAAATTAATGAAGAAGAAGCCTATGGTCGACGACTTTTTGTCGGCGATTGCAGCCCTCTTTGCCTCCTACAGATCGTGTAGCACCACCACTCCACCATCGACTGTAGCTATTGTTGCTCCGTTGGTTTGCTGCTGACCAATGACAGGAAAGGAACCCAAAAGGGTCGCCGGAAAAGGCAACTTCCCTCCCCTAGTGAAATCAAGCAATCACCAAACACCACTCCACCACAAACTGTTGCTACTGCTTTTCTTCTGTGGATTGTTGTCGGTGACCATCCTAAGCGGTTCCAACCTCCACTCCCTTGTTTCTTCGAAAAATAACATCACCCAATCACCCACTATTCCTTCACTACCCGTGATGAGAAAGGAAACCACAATGGGCTCATCGGAGACGTCGACTGCAACCCCTCTTGTCGAAGAAGCATCACCCACACGCTTCCCTTGCCCACTGCTACTTCCGGTAGAAGCTAAATAAGGGCAGACGTCGACTGCAACCCCTCTTGTGTGTAATGTTGTTTCAAAAACATGGTTTTAGTATGCTTCCTGCCTTATATTACTGTGATTTAATTTTTGATGTGGTGTTGGCTCTTATTTCTTTTCAAATAGATTATGCTTTTGATTTCTATTCTGATTTCTGAAACAGAGTCAAAATGGTAATTGGATATAAAACAATGGGTGTTTGGATTGGGTGTTTGACAGGGAAGGAAAGGAAATGAAAAGCAGTTTTTTGGCTAATATACATATCAGAATGAGCAGTTTTTTGGCTAATATCTATTGGAATGGAATCAAGAATTCCAATTCTGTTGGAATGGAATGACGAATTCCAATTCTGTTGGAATCACAGAAGTTGATGCTTGAAGAACGGACCACAAAATTGAAACGGACCTCATTATTCTTTTAGAATGTATTAGTCGTTGTTAGATTTTGATGTAATTATTAACAATTGTTACCCGTATTCTATAAGAAGTAATGTATTTGTTGTTTTTATTCTTCAATTGATTGTTCAAGAATTTGTTATTCTACAAGAAATTTTTAAATTCATGATTGTTCAAGAATTTTTGAATATACTCATAAACATATTCTGTCAGAATGTCCGAATTAAAAGAATTATAATTCGTAAAATCGGATTTTTAAAATTAATAGAATCTATGATCCCTTAAAAAATGCAATTTTCCTTTATTAAATCTATATTAATTGACTAAATTACCCTTGTAATTAATTAAGAAGATTTTTTCAATTATATTTAATTCATAAATATATATTAATCACTTTCTTAAAATAAGTAAATTTGATTGGCCCATATTTATAAATACAATAACACAATAATTACTTTAAACAAAATAACCTAAACCTCTCTCTCTCTCTCTCTCTCTATATATATATATATATATAGATATATATATATATATATATATATATATATATATATATATATATATAAGTTGTTCTAAAAACATAAGATAAAATCATGTACTATATTTAAGCGGGAATAAATGATAGCTAATAATATTATTTTAAATATATTCTTAAATCATCGTCAGTCGATAGTAAACAACTAAACATGTCAATTTTTTTTGTCATCGTTCTTAATGGAGACAAGTAAGAAATTAAGGCGTATAGGTTGAGCAAATCTCAAATAGGATTACTATTTAATGACACTATTCTTTGGTTTGTTTAGTAGTATAGATGTGACTATTGGATATATAAAACGTATAAACAAATGTGATGCACTAAAAGATACAGCTACCCATCATTTGGATGTCATAGTTGCTGGTTTGTTAAGATATTATACTATCTTCAATCTTTAACATTATATTTCACACCAAAGCATAAAAAAATATTATAAAATATAATATAAAAACTAAATCATATACAATTCATTATATTATATTTAACAAGAAAAATAATATTTTAGATATATTTATTTTTTATCTAATTTTGATAATCTATTAAAGAAATTACATAACCCATGTAGTTTGGTAAAATTCTAACTTTGAAAAGTTGATACTAACTATTCTTATGGTTTTCAGATGTTGCATTTTGTTATCTCCATTAACCAATTAGCTATGACGAATTTAGAAGCAATTAATTTCATTTCTCATATAATAATATAACAATATATCTTGTTTTCTTGAAATTTAACAAAAAATAGATTAAGATCACTAAAATGAATATTGCATAGAAGGAAAAAAAACAACTTACTTGATATATGAGTGCACTTTCAAGTTTCGTCACCATCTTGTCCATTAATGGCCTTTTTTCAATGTCTCCCTTCAAACATTGATAAGCCATTTCTGAAAACACGTGCAGAGAACTAGGATGTATTTCATCCTTTATTTCACCAAAAATAATTTCATTTAGGGTATTCGTTTTGTAATGTTTGCGTACCAAATTGCTAAATGACTGACTCTTATCATTTTGCCCTAAACACAACCTCCCACACAAAACTTCAAACAACACCACACCAAAGGAGTACACGTCTGACTCCTTTGTTAGTATCCCAGTCCCAAGATATTGGGGATCACAATACCCAATTGTGCCCGCAATATTATTGGAGATAACAAATGTGTATGGTTGGTTAGCTGGGCCAAATTTTGATAGACCCAGATCCGCAATCCTTGCATTCCAGTTTTCATCTAACAAGATATTAGAACTTTTAATATCCCGGTGCAAAACTCTTTGTTGGGTTCCAGCAGGATTATGAAGGTATGCAAGTCCGCGAGCCACCCCAATGCATATTTTGAGGCGTGGAACCCATGTTAGATCCTTGTTGTCGAGATGCAAGTCAAGACTTTTATTGGATGCAAACTCGTACACAAGGATCTTCTCATCATTTTCATCACAATACCCTAAGAGGGAGACAATATTTTGGTGCTTGTAAATAGAAAGCATGATTACCTCCTTCCAAAACTCAAAGTCTCCTTGCCCCATATTACGATCTAAGCGTTTTATAGCAACTGTGGTCTGCCCCTTTGATAGGACGAGTTCTCCCTTGTAAACTTTACCAAATCCTCCTTCCCCTATGAGATGGTCTACAGAAAAATTGTTGGTTGCTGATTGTATAGCTTCTAGTTGTATTTCGAGGTGTTTAAACTTTTCTAGGACGAACATTGTTGTGATGTTTGGTCAAAACGAGGAAACAAGAATAAGAGTTCTAAAGAACTAAAGTTGAAGTGCGTGAAAGGTATAATATTGCATATACATAGTTGCTTGATAATATTTAGAATTTCAGGTCTTTTAGTCAACCCTCTCCGCCTTTCATATAGTTGACGTTTATTAAGTAATTTTAAAATAATTAAAAAATTAGTATTATAAAAACTAGCATGGACTTTAACATGGCTAATTAATAGCTTCCATGTGCTTTAACTACGTTTGCCAGCTTGCTTGTAGAATAAGTATATGATGGTGCTGTACCTATACAAAAGTCTTCTCCCAATAAAATATCGTACAAGATGCTCTTAGGTAATTAACGGATTGGTTGGCTGGTTCAAATTCAATAATTGAATTTTTAAAATGTTACTATTTGTCTCACACATACATATATATACATCTTTATCATATATAAGAAATTAAATAGGTACCAAGGTGTGGTAATTAATTGGTTTATTATTGCTAAACATTGGTTTAATTATAAAAATAAAGAAATGGGAGAAATTCTTCGAAACATCTTCTTCAGCCACTTACGTTTTGTTATCAAATATGTATGCGGTTTCTGGGAAATTGGGGGATAGAAATCGGACAAGAAAGTTGATGAAAGATAGAGTGGTTAAAAAAGTTGGATTGAAATCAACAACACAATTCATGGGTTCTTTCTTGGGGGATCGATTACATCCGTTAGCTGATGAGATTTATGATTATTTAGAGGTTGTTAATAAAAGGGTTTCTGAAATTGGATATGTGCAAGATCGTTATAGACATAGTCTTCTGAATGTATTATTGAATGGAAATCAATCTCATTCTCATTCCATTCAAATGATCAGTACAATACACGGCAATATAATAAATTATATACAAGACAATTTGGCCGATCACAATAAGGCTAACATTGGGCTAATATACAAACAGATACAATATATACTAACAGAATGATTTGGAGCAAGATCAGAAGGAAGCATCTAGTTGTATACATATGGTTATTACATTTGGACTTTTGAGTTTGTCAAGTAGGGTTCCTATGCGTGTAATGAAGAATCTTTGTGTGTGTAATGACTGCCATAATTGGATAAAGTTTGTGTCAAAGATTTCGAATCGGGATATTGTAATTATGGATTGTATCGGTTTCATCATTTTGGGTAGGGTGTTTATTGTTGTAATTTGTAAAGATCATTGGTGATTTTGATGCGTTTGAGGAAGTTAGCTAGAAGATCTAGTCATCAATGGGCCACCTGGCTTTGTTAAGGTATATATATAATTTATGTTTTTAAAAAAACCTTACTTGCTAAATATAGATTACAGATGTCGCCCTCATATATCAGTTACAAAACTATCTTTCAAAATTGGTGTATGTATTGTAAGCTAGTGTTGAAGATCTTTTACAAGTGTAATACTTAAGGCATGTATTCTGAAAGGAAACATTAGTGTGCAAATATTTGTTTCACAGTTTGATTTGTGCATGTCAATTTAGGCCAGGTAATATAGATCATTATCATTATCTATCAATAATATGTTGGCTTCATCCACTTATGTTAGAAATTTTTCTGCAAGAATTCATCACAGCAACATCAAAACTCAAATCCCATAACAAAATGTAGGGATGACTAAAGTACGTGATTCCACCCAAACCGTTTATATTTGGGATGATTAAACCAACCATTATAAATAAGGTTTTTAACAAAAATAATCAAGGTTTTTTTTTTGTTTTTCAAAACGACCACATTGTCCTAGATGAGTCATTTTGGACTTGTTCATGACATTCACAACTGACCAAAAATATTTAGTATGCATTTTTCTTCTTATTTGCACAATTGTTTTTAAAAAAAAAAACTCTCCACTCATCTCCAAAATGTCTATTTCGGAGTGACTAAGGGAGAAGGGAGTTCTTCCCTCCCAACTCACTCAACCCACTCAACCCACTGTCACATCAGTTTTTTTATTTTTTCTCTTTTCTATCTTTTCCAATCCACAACATATGGAAACTCTATCCTTCTCAACCCACTCAACCTACTTTTCATATCATTCTTTTTTATTTAATTAAATTAGAAAATCTAAATTAAAATAAAACATAACATTTTTTTTTTCATTTTTTTTGCTAATTTAAAACAAAAAAAAACTCTAAAATAATATTAAAAATAACAGTTAATATTTTTTTTAATTAAATTAGAAAATATAAATTAAAATAAAACATAACATTTTTTGCTTTTTTTTGCTAATATAAAACAAAAAAATCTAAAATAATATTAAAAATAACATTTAATTAAAAAACCACTGTACAAATAAAAAAATACATGATAATTAAAAGAAAATACACTTAAAAAAAAGATAACAAAATTTAAATCCTAAAACGGCAATTAAAATTAACTAGTTATTATCTAGAGTTGGAATGTAGACATGTTCAATGTGATCGGTAAGATCAGATCGAAGTTGGTGGTGGGTTTCAGCATTGCGCAATTCATGTATTATTTCTTGGTCATCAACTTCGTTGGTGGGGGGGATCGGGTTGATACACAGAAGATATCGCAGCACCCTCATCTTTCAACATTATATTGTGTAGTATAATACAAGTGTACCTTATATTTTTTGTTTTCTTCACTCTCATAGCCCGTGCATGCATTTTTAATATGTCCCAATGTCCTTTAAGGACCCCAAAATCACGTTCTACGTCATTTCTTGATGATTCTTGTGCCGCATTGAATCGTATATTTTTTTCGGTTACTGGATATGTATATGCCTTCACAAATACAGCCCATGATGGATATATTCCATCCGCAAGATAGTAACCATGCTTGTAGTGTTCATCATTCAGATAAAAGTAACAATAGGGTCTGTTCCATGATATTTCTCATCAAACAGTGGTGATTGATAGAGGACGTTTAAATCATTGTTCGAACCGGCTACACCATAGAATGCATTCCAAAACCATAAATCTTGTGACGTCACTTCTTCTAGTATCATTGATGGATACTGATGGTCACCCCTCATGTATTCACCTCTCAATTCTGTTGGACAATTCCTCCAATTCCAATGTGTGAGTCAATGCTACCAAGCATTTCAGGGAATCCATGTCTAGCTTCATGTGCTTCATACAAAAGTTGAATGCCAGTGGATGTTAGACGGTGTAAATATTCAGCTTTATACATTTGGACAACACCGTAGCAAAACTTTTCAAGAGCTTCACGAGAATTTCTTTATGACATATTCAGATACTCATCTAACGATTCTAGGTTATAACCCTTCGCTAATTGACGTATTGTTGATGTGCATTTTTGTAGCATACTAAAACTTCTCTGATTTGTTGCACCCCATGTTGTTTGAAAATAAGGATAATTCATCTCCAGGTCACTAACAAGTCGCATACACAAACCTTTGCTCATAAAGAACCTTCTGCGGAATTGTGCGTGACCATAGGTTGAATCATCCACAAAATAATGTCGGATCAACAGTCGTTCAGCCTCTAAACGATCTCTACAGATTGTGTTTCTCCTTTGAATGTTGTTTGAACTAGCATTATTTTAAAGTATAAGTTGTACAATACGAGACAATACATGTAACAAATTATTGTTGATAAGTTCATCCTCAGATGATGAACTATCATCGTTAACTTTCATTACTATTTTTCGAACGTTTGGATTCATTTTGAAAAGAGAGAAAAGATATAGAGAAAATAAAACAAACAAACATATATATATATATATATATATATATATATATATATATATATATATATATATATATAACGAAACAAATGATACATATAGAGAATCTTAATAAAAATCAAAATCAAAATCAAAATAAAAATAAAAAACATAATAATAAAGAGAAAGATTCTCCAGTCAAATGATGCCGACATTTTGAACTTTATGGGTTCTCAAACTCCCAACCATACTTAGTTGCAAATTTTCATTTCCTTTCAAGCATCGTGCGCAAAAAACCTACAATCAAGTGATCATGCGGTCGGAGAAAATACTCCATATCTTGGTTCTCTATCTCCCGATCCAACAATTGAGCTTTTAGTTCTTCATTAGCTTCGAGAATGCGTAATTTTTGTTCCCGGTACCGTTGTCTCTGTTCCGCCTCTGTTTTGGTTACAGTCTTGATGCCATCAATTTGTTTGACGAGATCAAACATTTCATTTTCTGTTGATGATGCCGATGCCGCTTTCTTTCCTTTTCTTTTTCTCTGAGGCGGTGAGTCTTCAACACTAAACGACTGTTGTTGTTGGGGGAGAATCCAGGAGGATACTATGGATCGGAAGATGTAGTGTAGGAGTTGGATGAAGATGTTTTGGCTCGTTTTGAAGAAGGAGGCGGGGAGTCTTCACCAACTTTTTTAACAAATGCCCATTTTGCATTGTCTTCAACCACTCCCAAGCTTGCTGATGAGGAAAAGATTTCTGATTAATAGTCCTCCGATACTCGCTTAGTTGATTGTAAAACATCAGCCTCAGATCTCCCGCTAGCCACAGTGCTCATCTTATAGTTATAGATGCGGTTGAAAGCGTTACATTTCTTTTGGAGGTCTTTCCATTTTGAGTTTACTTGGTGTCGTGACCGATCCGAACCTCCCATTTGAATATTAAAATGCTTTAGAACCCTCTCGCAAAATGCATCAGACCTTTGTTGATTTCTGCGTTTCTTATCTTTAGAAACATCGACATATGCCCTAGCCAAAGGCAACTTTTCGCGTTCCACCCAGTTCTTTCGCTTCTGGCGGTGTGTATAGTTGCGCTTTTTCTTAGCCATGGGTTGCAACTCCTCGTTGGTTTCTTCTTCGTTTCTTTCGGGAGCTGGGTCGTCACTAGAACTATCAGATTCTACGTTCTGAGCATCACGAAACTGGGAAGTCTCGGGTTAAGAAGATTGGAATTGGGTTTCTGGAACCCTTTGATAAAACTGATTCCATGGATTATAACTCTGATTTTCCTCAGGAAGCCTAAATGTATTGTAAGAATGTTGCACCGAGAAATATTGTTGTTGGTAGTTTTGGTATTGCTGATAGTTTGGATTTTGAAAATCTTGAGAAAAAAATGGAATATCTTGACTTGAACCGCCTTGTGTGGATTTACATTTTTGGCTAGAACCGGTTTGTTTAGCTTTGCCTCGGGAATCCATTGAATGTAACTAAAGGAATCGAAGGAAATATAAAATTTTCTAGAGTAAAAAATACTACAAATGAATTAAATATGTATTATATATTTATAAACTTCTAAAACAAAATAAATAAATTAGTAAATTAATAAAAAGAATCCGTAGGAATATAGTCAATTTGAAAGTGACATGTAATTGAATTGAAGTTCTAACATATCACAATATCAAATAACAGTATGGTATTTTGGGGTCTACTTACTGGCTCCGGCTGATCGTACGCATCGCATCCTCCTTTAGTACTTGAAAACCATTTGAAAATCATTTTGAAAATCTTTTCCTTAGTTTGAGACTGGATTCACACGAGTGTTCCTCCAATTCACTCAAACCAAGGCTCTGATACCAACTTGTAACAACCATAAAATTCATAAAAATTTTAAACTTTTCAAACATTTCAAAACCATCCATTTTTTACAAATTGTTTTCAAAATAATCCAATATCATATTTTTTCCCAGAACCACAACAGAAAACAAGGAGGTGCACGATCAAGCCTTCGTCTTCCTGCGATCATCCGAAGTACCTGAAACAAAATCCACAACTGTAAGCACGAAGCTTAGTGAGTTCCCTCAAAATACCCAACAAACAATAAACACACATATAATAACAGCATACTATGGGCCCAATCAACCATCTGGTTGGAATGCCCCAGGCCCTCAACCATCGTGTAACACCCAAAAATTCAATCCAATTTAAACTTTTAAAAACATTCCAAACCATTAAAAATCATTACAACGTTGTTTCAAAAAGTAAATATCGGATTGTCCCAGAAACATAGACAAAACTGAGGAGCTGTACGATCACGCGTTCGCCTTGTGCCGCGATCCCCTGATGTACCTGAAACAATAACCTGAAACTGTAAGACCGAGAGCTTAGTGAGTTCCCCCAAAATACCGATACACATACAGTCCACATAAACATATCATAACAAACTGAACAACATGTAATGGGTCCCCAACTTACAGACTGATTACCCCTGAGCCCACAGTAATGAGTTCCCTTTAGCCCGTACTGGAATGCTCCCGAGCCCACAGTACGAGGCGCCCTTTAGCCCGTAACTGGAAATGCTCCTAAGGTCTGTTAGCTACCGCACGGAGCAATACAACCTCAACCCATCCCACATAACATATAACATACCACATAACCACTGAGCATGCAATAATCATATAACAGCACAGGTAGTCCTACAGGTCCTACTAACTGGCATAACCACTAGCATCAACACTAACTCATACCAACATCTAACACGGCTGGGATAACATATCCAATGGGGGCCGCCTTAGTGCCTTAGAGCCCTTAGTATAGTGAGGATAACTCACCTGGCACTGCTGAAGTCCCGCAGGTATGCTTCACTGCTGAGTTGACAGATTTTCAACTGTCAACATCAAACATACCCAATTAATAATTGGGTTCCAAGCTCAAAGTCCAACTCACACTCCCAAAAGCCCAAAAGTCAAGTAATGGGCCAAGGCCCAACATATGGCCCAATCTTCCAAATTGGGCCAAGTCCTCACATGGGCTTATCCTAAAGCCCATCTAATTACTTTGGTCCATTAACTTGTTCCTTATCCTAAAGCCCATCTAATTACTTTGGTCCATTAACTTGTTCCTGGATGGTCCATCAATAGTCTAACCACCAAAACCCTATAGGAAGGTGTTGGATATAGTGTCTAAGTCCATAACTATATTTGGTATGTACTTGACCCGACCCGGCATGGTCCATTTGGGTTGCACTTCACCCGAACAATTTATGGATAATCGTTTGAGAATAGTATAAGTTTATGATTATTAATATATTATAAGTCCTAATATATTAATATAAAATCATATTATTAATTAGTATTGATCTATAATTAATCTAGAATTAATTTAGAGATCAAAAGTATGACTAATTAAATATGGGCTCTTGTATTTATATAGTGTGGGCTAATGCTTATTTGGAATGGGCTAGGCTTGCATGGAAAGTTCATGGATACTCCATGGAGCTTTAACCCATGGATCTCATGGAAATGAAAAGACATGGGTAGTAGGGTTTCCATGAATGTAACCCTAATCCCCCACACTATATAAAAGAGGCTTTGGTTCTTGAAATAACACTACTCGTTGATGTGTGTAAACTAAGAGGGCCGATTTCAAGAAGTTTATGACTATTCTCTCAAGTTTCCAAGTTTGTGGGGATTTTGTGACTTCCATTTGAGGCATCCACATTATTGGTGCTAGGCTCTCAAACTCCAAGCCATCAACTACTACTACAGGTAAGTAATTCTACTAGTTTTATTTGATTCAAGTACCCCATGCCCATGCCATGCTAGTTAGGATAAGAACCTTGGAAAAAATAATTATTTGCATGTATCTTAGTCAACATAGATCCAAGGTTTCTAGGGTTGCATGTACACCATAGGAGTGTTAGAATGCTCAAAACCCATCAGTGGTATCAGAGCCTGGTTTGTTTATTTGATACTTGATGCAAAAAAAAAAAAAAAAAAAAAAAAAAAAAAAAAACTGAAAATCGAAGTTTTGTTCAAAAGCTCGTATCAAATTTCAAGTTTTGTATATGTACTTACGATTCTTGAAATTTTTGATATAACATTCATAACATAGAGTTTAGAAGATCATAGAAATTATGTGCTAATAATTGATTAGATTAATTCTTGATCTTTATGTGTTTTAATGGAGTCCATAACTAGTTCTTAAGTTATGGATAACCAAAAGTCACATTATAAATAACCATTAAAAGAACACATAGGTTACAAAAAATGAAGAGTCTTCATTTTTATAACCATTAACTCATAAGTTATGAGAAATGAAAAGTTTTGAAAGTTTACAAAACTTGCCCTCAAGTTTTGGACATGTAAAGTCATATTAAAAACTTTAGTTCCAACCCCTAGAATTTTAAAAGTTAAAATTCAACCCTTAGACTTTATAATATTAGAAGTTTAATAATATTATATATGTATAAAGATCAAGTCGTCTTACTGCTAGTACGCCTCATTCACGAAGCCGGTCTATAAGGGGGTATAAGGTTGTTGCCTATAAAATGGCAACTTAATGGGTGTCCACTCTCACCACACCGCTTCCTTGATCGGTGGAGGTCGTTAGCCGAACGGGTAGGACAAGGACTTATAAATTCTCATTAAAAGATAATGATAATACTAAAGTAACCAAACTTTATGAATTCCCAATCTTAGTTATTTTAGGAAAATGTGAATAGGTGCTAATCCATGAAATTACACTTTACACTTTGTTTAAGTCGTTAGTGGAGCGTGTGTGGTTAACCGGCACACTAACTTGACTTAACAAGTAGGTAAAGGGTGACTTAATGTTTATCATAGTAATCGATGGAGCGTTTGTAGTTAACCGGCACATCGATTGAGGGTAATACATTAAGGTACCAAGTAATTTGCATGGTTACTTCACACACCTTGTTTTGTGATCCTCGGCATCCCAGTCACAAAACTTGAAGGGCACACTCGAGATTGAAACATGCCATGAAGAAAGTTCAATGAATCTCAAAGAATCTAGGAGTTTCTAAACCAATTAAACCTAATTAAATATTTCGTTTTTCATGGTGGAAATTGGTGAATCGTCATTCACCTACCTTCAAATATCTTATAGCTTAGATTACGGCATCCCTCTTCTAAGTTATAAAATATTGTGTTGGGTCCTAGCCTTAATATTACATTTGGGGTGTTTTGTTAAGGACTATCTCTATATCTAATATCTAATCTATTCCCTCTTCTTTTCAGATGTCTTCCAATAACAATGCTTCTGGCTCAAACCCTACTACTCCTTCTCTCTCATGAATCTTTGTGGGAGAGTCATCTTTGATGGGTCCAACTTTACAGATTGGATCAGAAACATCAGGGATGGTCACTCGGTATGAGAACAAAGAATATGTTCTCGACAAGGAGCTGAAGGTACCCGAGCCAACTGCTACTCCTGAAGAGCTTGCTGAATATGAGGTACATGAAAGAGATGCTACAAAAGTGGCATGCATCATGATGGCCACCATGACAGCCGAGCTCCAAAAGTCCTATGAGGACTATTATCCTTTTGAGATGCACCAGGACTTGATGACCCGCTACCATCAAAGTGCTCGTCAAGAGCGATATGAAATAATCTCCTCCATGATAACAACCCGAATGAAGGATGGTGACCCCATCAACGGGCCACATGCAGAAAATGCAAAGGTATGTGGACCGTTTACTCAAGCTGAATGTGAACTTCCCTGAGGAGTTAGCAATAGACATCATTTTGCACTCCTTGCCATCGTGTTATGATCAATTCCGCATGAACATATCACATGAACAAGGAAGAAGTCACCCTCAGCAAACTTCAAGCACTCTTGAAGACCGCCGAAAGTGGTCTAAAAGGTAAGTCGGTTGTTACTACTACTCCTACTCCTACTCCAACTGTGGCCAATGTCTTGGCAATCGGGCATGGCAAGGGAAGAAGAGAAAGAACCCTTCTAAGGGTACCAAGGGTAAGACCCTTGAAGGCTCCTTCTTCAAGCAAAACCAAGAAAGGTTTTGTCACTCCTTCTGCTAACCCTAATGAGGCTGAATGCTTCTATTGCCATGAAAAGTCGCACTGGAAGCGA